TCAGCTCCTGCCGCTGTGAATCTCTTCTGCCTGTCCAGGGAGCCTGGGCTGCCTGCAGCACCGGGCGCTTCTGCCCCCAGAGCCTCGGTGGATGTTCCCGAGTGTCCTCGTGTGTGCCCCAGGGTGTTGGGAGAGCTGGAAGCTGCTCTCAGGATTCCCTGTGCAGTAATTCCTCCCTCTGTCTCTCAACAGACTATGCAATTTCCAAACCTGGTGTTTTGTCTCAGATCGAGCAAGGAGAGGAATCGCGGGTCAGGAACGAGCAGGACTTGGAGGAGAGCGAGATCATCACTGATGCCACGGCAGGTGAGATGGCAGTTTGGCGCGCGGGGAGCCGTAGGTTGTGTTCAGAGGAGCCGTTCACCCCTGGGATAAAGCAAGGAGGAGCCTTGCACACGAGCAGGAAAGGTCTGATGTCCAGGTATGGCTCAACGCCCAAACCGGGGCATGCGGAGCCCGGAGAGTTGGGCACTTGGCAAAGCAAATGTCTGCAACCAGACCAGGTCCTCAGGGAGCTGGCAATAGTCAGGAGGGAGCTGTAGCCTTCCCAAGAAATCCTCTCCAGCCTCTCTGGTTGTGTGGATGGTGCCTGGGTTTATCCTTGGAGCATCCCTGCAGAGCAGGGAATCTTGTTCTCATCCTGCGTGCAAGGATCCGGGGTGCTGAGGGGTTTCCTGGGAACAGGGCAGCCGGGACCCCGGAGCAGCTCCCACACTGCGATAAGGGGGGCTGATGAGGAGGTGTCCTGGGAGAGATGGTGTCAGCCCCGCTGCTGCTCTCTGGCCCCAGGCTGCGTGGTCTGTGCGCTTGGTCACGAGGTTCTTGGAGTTAAATCAAGGCCACTGGGAAGAGAAAAATCATCTGTTGTTCCCAGGGAGCCGCTGGCCCAGCACTGGGGAATGCGGGGTGGCAGAGAGGTGCTGAGCCCCCAGGCTGGGTGGAGGGGGTCCCCTGTGCCTGCAGAGCATCCCAGGCGAGAGGCAGGAGCATGGAGTCTCTTGCGCCTGCGGAGCA